CCCCCCCCCCCCCCCCCCCCCCCGACAGTTTCGGGCGCGCGGCGTTTTGAACTGCACCATCAGCAGCGGAAGCGGCTGTGATGACGGCGGAGCTCCGCCAGCAGGACGAAAACACGACGAGATGTTGGTGGTTATTAATGATTCCTTTGTCGCGCAGCGTTGCGCAGCGAGACGTCCGTCGGTTTGTTTACATCGCGCCCTGTCACTCAGTGGGCTTGCTGCTGCTTGCTGTCCCGCTTGCGCCAGGCAGCCGAAAACAACTCTCTTGCAAGCCGCTCGCAAAGAGAGTCGGCGGCAGCGGCCATCTATGTAAGCACAGTGACATAGTCTGGCACTTTAAAAAAGTACACTGGAAGAAAAACTCACGGTAAACGCCTACGGTTCGCGCTGTAAATTTGTCACCTGGTCCGGCACAGTTATTTTTGGTTACGGTCCGTGTCATATAGAACAGACCGTAACATGAAAAATGTTGGGGAAGTCGAATACAACTCTTAGCCCAAACAAGAAAGTACAGTTCGTACTGTTATAACAGTACCGTATAAGGCTGAAAATACGCTGAAAAATACGGTACGGACCGTAGGCGAACCGTAACTGCTTACGGAATTTTTAACAGTGTACACTGTTGAAAAAAAACTCTGAAAATTCAGTAGAGGTTTGTAGACCATATTACTAAAAAAAAATTAAGTTTAAACTACGTTTCAGCTGAAAATTCCGACTTTTTACTCCGAATCAGCTGCAGCTCTATAGGTTTTCAGAGCAATTTGCCTGAATATTTTTAAGCATCCTTTCAGACCATACATATAATTCTTTATTCAGAGTTAGCGGTATGAATTTTGAGTGGAAAGTTCATCGGACGGGAGGACGGAGCACACCAGAAGCCGACGCTCATCCCCTTGCTGGTAGCCGACAGCCGAATGGTTTGGGTGACGGCTCCCTATGCTGAGGGTTGGCGGTTCGAGCCTAACCAACGGCAGGACGGATAAGACAGTTATGTGTCTACCACCGGGCGTACACTCTAAATGTCAAGGACAATTTTTGTAACTAGCACCGGACTTCTGCGTGCATAACTAAATTCAGATACAATATTGTGACTTGCTAGTCAATAAATGTGTGTTGGTAGTAACAATATTGTATCTGAGCTAGTTATGCACACAGAAGTCCGGTGCTAGTTACAAAAATTGTCCTTGGACATTTAGAGTGTAGCCCTCTACGCCGACAATAACTGTTGAGTCGCTCGATGTATTCCTATTTTTATCATCTTAAAAAATATTTTCATATCGGCTGTCTGAATTTTCAGACCAAGTGACTAAGGCACCACTGAAATTTCAGACCTGGGTGCAGACTAAATTTTCAGACTACTGGTCTATAAAAAAACCTTACGTCTCAAAATACAGTACACCATTGTTTACAAGGTAGTTGTAGGTTAAAAGGGGAAATTTTCCTAAACGTGACGTAAAATTTTAATTCAAAATTGTAAAATGACAAAAATTACGTGTCGACTTGGACTCGGAATTCATCTACGAGCAAGATTGGGCTGTCAGTATTCAGTAACTTACTACATATTTTGTAAAAATCAATTACAAAATATATTGTAAATCTACGAGGATATTTCTCACAATATGGACGGTGGTGGTTGGTAGTGCCCCCGGGTGCGCCTCGCTACCGACACGCAACACGCAACGAGGGATGTATTTACCTAGTAAATTTTTCTGTTTTTTTTTTTCCTCTTTTCTTCCATTTCTGAGTGTGTCGGTTCATATCGGACGGCTATTAGGAGGTGGTTCGTCTCGACGCTAATACCGGATGCGGCGCCCAATGCGTCGATAATAGGGAATAAAAGCGGCTGTAATCAGGGCGCCTCCCCTCTTCTCTCTCGCTCCCTCCCTCCCTC